GTCAACATACCTGAACCAATGACTTGGTGGTGTCCCTGAAAAGGACGTCAAGGCTCTCTTTTCTACCTCCTCCATGTACAGGTTGGCAACAATAGGAGAAACTGGAGACCCCATAGCACACCCATGTTTCTGCCTATAATATTGCTCCCCATATGTGAAGTAGGTTGACTGCAGGCACAGTTTCAAGAGTTGACACAGTTGTTCTGTGGAAAGCGTGGTCCTGCTGCTCAGAGTGGTGTCTGATTTTAATTTTAAACTGACCACCTCTACTGCATCATCAACAGGAATGCATGTAAAGAGTGATGTGACATCAAAAGAGACCATTGTTTCATCAGTCTCCATGATGACATCCCTCACCTTGTCCACAAAGTCCATGGTGTTCTGTATGTGGTGTTCTGAGCTGCCAACTAAAGGGATGAGTACAGATGCCAGATATTTGGAAACATTGTATGTGACCGAGTTAATCATGCTAACAATTGGTCTTAAAGGTACACTTTGTTTGTGGATTTTAGGTAAACCATACAGACTAGGTGTGGCCTCCCCACAGACTGTACTCAGGGGAGTCCACACCTAGTCTGTATGGCAACTCATGCTAACAAATAAATCAAGGAAACGTCAATTAAGTTTTATCATTTATATTAAAAAAGGCAGGAGAATATTACAGTTTTACCACGCTGGACTCTCCGGACTGTGACACATTCACAGATCTGGAAGATCCTCAAAGTCCCGTGTCATTCCTAATTTATGGGGTCCTATGACTCCTCCTTCGCAGAAAGGGAGCTCAGCCTATCAGTGTATGAGGGGGCGTGTCTAAGTGTGGTCTTATGTGCACTGACGTGTTAGGAAAGTATGAGACGGTTCTTCAAAGCCTTTCTACGTGATGTGGCAAGCAGATTAAACTATTTGACTGATGTTGAAATCCCAGAGAGACTCTTTTGAGAGTTGCTGGCCCATTTTAACCCAGTCAGAACCGGGTCATAATTTCATTATAATCCCGTCTCTGAGCAGATTAAAACCATAAAACCAGTCTAGATTAAAAATATCTTAACATCTCCCCCTGGGCAGGGGTCCCCGAAGGGGTTCCCCTGCATAAAAACTCCCAGTTCAATACCGCCAGATAAGCAAGCAATCAATCACTTTCCTCTGGTTGAATGTGAACTACTCCTTATATGTTGGCGGGAGATGCCTACAGGCTACAGCGTGACCCGGCAGCCTCAGGTCAAAAAAGATGTCAGCTGATGGCTAATGTGATGACCTGCCAGCCTCAGTCCGCCTGACCCATCGTCTGGACATCTGCCTAGGAATTCAGCATCCCCCTGGTGTGGTGCAATAACATAATGGAAATTTCTAATATGGTCTAAGTCAGTTCTCTAAATATGATTTAATAATTGCAAGAGGCGTCCTAATGCAAAAAAGCGTTCTAATC